CTACAAAGAGAAAGACTTCTTCTTTCTAATGAAATTAGAGAGAGGCAGATTCGTCGACAAGGCGAAAAGTTACAAATTTTCAAAAACGAAACACATTACTTTCGTGACAACCTAATACAAATTCTAAATGAGATGTTGGTCTTACTGTGGGATGAACAGGTAATGTGAGCAAAATCGAAAATATGGTGTCACATGAGTCCCTTTTCAGTTACATTGAAGTTGAGTGGTCTCAGTCATGTGTTCATGCGGCCAGTGAGAACTGCCACAAATTAATCTCAATTTTCCTCTTTTTTTCGTAAATGGCATGGAAATTTTCGGTTATTTATCTCAGGCACGGCGCGAATGCCTCTTGAATCTACAAGATTCAATCTCGACTTTCCGCTGTGATTGTGGAGATTCTGCGAAAACGAGTGGGAAGGCTGAGCAGCTAGCCATGCGTAGGCTAAAAGAACTGTGGATGGACGACATTAAACGGGTTTACAGGTAGTCTCAATTTTTGGGAGTTAAGAAACGTTCCACTTCTTTTTATCAGTGATTGGAAATGGCGTGAGCTGTGTGAGCGCAGTGAAATAATTGTGGAACGACTCGGATCCTCTGCAGATCAGATCTCGAACAACAGCGCGTCCCAAAATGGGTCTCCGAGACAGTTTATGTCTCCGAACATTCCACGGTGTGTTTTCGTCTTGCATTGGCTAGTTTTGTCCTAATGGTTTGAATTTAGCAGTGTCGAAGCTGGTCGACCGCGTAGCATTATAGGGGAGCTGCACTGCTCAATGAGCATCCAGGATGAAGAACCTGGAATATCCTTGGAGTTGCCGCCTCAGCCTTCCACACTAGTTCACCTACAAAAGTCTCGTCCTCGTTTACAAAGGAGACCAGGAACTTCTGGACAGGGTAGGAGTAATGATATGATTCAAACCTGACTATATGTCTTTCAGCAAGGAAAGCCCAAAGCAACAACGAAGAGACGCCCATGAGTCGCAGCAGTGATATTGAGGAAGAATCACAGTCAACCAAAAGTGAAGATAGTGGCTGTGGCAACGATATGGTGATGAAAAAGGTGATAAAATAAGACAAAGAAGGCACTATCTACCAAATCCCAGAACTGCTGTGACTCTGATGCGATGTAATAGGCCCTTAAAGGCAGTGTCCAGGCAAATTTGGGGGTATGG